GAATGCTGTTCTCTCTCCTATGTTTTCCATGCTGTTCTCTTCCCTGCTTCCCCTGCCCAAAAAGTAAAATAAAATAGAGAAGAGAAGAGGGAACAACTTGGGTTTACAATGTCAGAGTAAGTTTACTTTTCAGAGTAAAACTCTAAGGTTCTCATTTTAATGCTTTGTTATGTGTGATATTATCTCCTTCCCTATTATTACTTTTGAGATTGTCATAATTATCTATTGACAAGATGTTCTCAGAGTCATTTCCCAAGTTCTGGGCTTGGTGAGGAATGAGAGTGACGGGTGCACATAATTTTTTCTAGTGTTTATATTAGGGTATGTTTTCCCTAGAAAAAGGCTGATAACAAAGAAAGCAAATTATCTTCGTAGACTAGTAACATATGCTGCTTTGTGCATGGATTCCAACCAGGGTATCTGACTGAACTCAGAGCACTGCTGAAATGCTATATGAACCTGCTAATTATTAAAAATAATCTGTATGTTCATATTTTTTCATTTGAAGTTAGTATTTGACCAAAGATACCTCATGGGATTAGCCTGTTTTACCTGAATAAATCGCTAGTTTTAAAACTGATTGTGTCAGGGAAGCCTACTTTAAGTTTAGTTGAACCATATATATGTTTCACATACCTTCTATCTCCCTTGGAGGAAACACTTGCTCATGGATGGAGCAAGAATCTATGTCCTGTAGAGTTTGTAATTCTATTATGTTTGAGTGCGAAGGGATCTTAAAAATAAATTACATGCCTCTCCCAATATTATCAGTGCTCATGGAGGCCAGAGAGGGGACCTGTGGCTTACAAAGTCAGACATCACACTCTTGGGCCACCCAGGCCCAGGGGGAGGCTGACATGACAGGCCAGTTGTGAGAGTTGTGCCTGGGAATCAACTGTATTGCATGTATTTGATGACTTTTCTGTTCAGCCGAGTCGTGTGCTCTGCCTGTGTTTCCAAAGCAGAACAGGTCCACTGGTAAGAAGGAGCCCTCCATTGCATCCTCTCACTCCTGTCATGCTCCCACAGGCCAACCTGCCCCTGCTGCAGCGCGAGCTCCTGCACTGTGCCAGGCTGGCCAAACAGAACCCTGCCCAGTACCTCGCCCAGCACGAACAGCTGCTTCTGGATGCCAGCACCACCTCACCTGTTGACTCCTCAGAGCTGCTTCTCGATGTGAACGAAAACGGGAAGAGGCGAACTCCAGACAGGTGAGGGGAAGGAGAACCCTGGATGAACTGTGGCCTTTTCCTCAAACCCATGGTACCAGGACGTGTCCTAAGCTGCCGATTGATAACCTGTTGCAAAATAGCAGTAATCTAGTCATATTCCTTGGGAGTCTTGGGACTCTTTCTCTGGCCTGGGATGTTGCAGTGATGGATTTCTGTCAGTTAGGCAGTGGCACCAGTAATCTTTGCTGCTTGTAATACTAAAGTAAAAGGTGAAGACGAGTTTTACTCAAATGTGCCAAGTGCCACTGATGGTTCTTAGGCACACAGTCACTATTAAAATTCTCATTTATTATATAATTCAGCCCAACCACTCATTTTCCCCTTCACTGGTAGGAAATTAGCTGTTTCAAGTTTTCTCAAAACAAGATAGTTTTGAAAGCTGGCTTTATGTGTTACTCAATAGACACAATGTGGTAGCTATTTAGCTTTTATTTGGAGTAATAGAAAGCTTCTGGGAAGTTAGATGAACTAAGTGAAGGTAAGAGTTAGGAATAGACTAGAAGGCAGTTTTGCTGAAAATTTTTTATTATCAGCCAATATTCATTCTATCAGGTACTCTGCTCTCCTGAGAATTCTAAGAAATGCAAAATAATGCCCCATCTCCATTAAACCCTACAAAGAAGCTGTTGATTGAGGCATATACATGAAACGTATCCATGTACCTATTAAAATAATTTTCCTTAATATCCCATGTTCATATATAAATGTTTTTTAGTATAGAAATAGAGTTCTAACAGCAGCATCTTGCATAGTATTTGTAAAGTATGTAAAATCTTAAAGTAAAATTGTCTTCAGAAACATATATATCATATGCTGTTTCTTTTCTCTACTTAACCATTCTCTCTTTCTGCATTTCATCGGGCCTGAATGTAACAGCCTTTGAGAGGTTAACAATTATGTCCCAAATTCATAAGAGCTTATGATCCCTGGGGCTGCTCAGAGACGTCTATCTGTGACCAATTTAGCTACTCTTAAATGTTTTAGCCGCTTTGTCAATCAGAATGTTATTAAAGCCTGCCAGTTTACATACAGTTATTACATAATCCTCTATTAAGCAGTTTTTTTGCTACAGTCTCTGCAATTTTTTCTTGATATAGGACCTCTTAATAGTTGAAAATTCCTAAAACAAAACTTTAAATATTAGTTTACTTCTGACATAACTGTAGACCCACCTCCATGCATGACCTGCCAACAGTGCTACTTTCTTCCTTTTACGTCATATTTCTTTAGTCCTATTTCAGCTTTTAGTAGGTTAGCTTTTAAAGGCAGCTGCTTAATCCAGACATCTGAGTAGCATGTCCACACAATACTAAAGACCAAGAAGTGGCCCAAGGATAGGTGATTCCCATTTGCACTTCTGTCTGATGCTAACCCATTTACCCTGCATGCACTTACCAAGATGGTCTGGCTCCATATTTCCGGGACAGTGTAGTAAACGAATTAGGAAGAGACGAATGGAAAATTGGGAAGAACATTTATTGGGTGGAGGAGAGGATAACAAGGAAAGGTTTAGATAGCTGTGGTAAATGTAAAGATAATCCTGTTGGCAAATTTGGAAATGTATACAATCTGTTCTAGAAACCCCTAACTGCTAAATAACCATAACAGACAGAATGAAAACTTGTTTCATTCATTTCTCCATCTTCGCAGCCATTTCCCTACTGGTTTCTTTCCCAGTGTTTTATATTGGAACGTGTCATGCCTTTAGACTTCCCTGGACAGTGCTGCAGTAAGCCCTGAGCACTGTGCTAACACTGACACGGGAATATCATACAAATTCCACGATAATCAACATTTTTGTTTTGATGATCTGTATCTGTGCAAGCGTGCAGGCTTTCATTCATTCAGGTAGAACTCTCTTAAAAGAGCCTTCAGTCTTATTCCACCTTTGTTTATTCATAGACAGTTGCTGGAGTCAGAATTCGCACAGTTGCTCTTTGGATAGAACATTCTTTTTCAAATGGAGCCCAGAAGTGTGTGTTATAATGGAAAGATGGCAAATGGATTTCCTTAGACTTAGGAGGAAGGGTAATGAGAATATGTTGTGTAAATACATATCTTGTGGGAATTTGATCAGAGCCAAGAAAATATGGGCCTCTACAGTATTTTTTTGCATATATTTTCTGCATCTTGTTTGCATATGCATTTTCCTTTTCTCTGGTTATTTATCTGTATATCCAGATATACTATATGAAATTTTATAGAGTGTGGAGCTGTCTGACAGCAGAGAGCTTTTTTTGTTTTACTGAATGTTTTGTTGGTACATATGGTCTGACATGGATGAGCAGCCACGGTGAGATTTTGGAGTCTATTAAACTGGCTCATTAAAAAGATCAATCTGTTTCTGTAATAACACTGGGAACCATCAGTCACTAAAAGAGGGAAAAACTGACACCTGAGGAGAAAACACATTTTGGTAATTTGTTCATGACATGTCGTGAACAAAAGAGTGCTCTATATTTTGTTTACAACTTTGGGGGCTTACATTCTGTGACGATTGCTGATTTAATCCCCTCAGCAGTCATCACGTGTTTCAGGGATGGGTTTTGGCAAATTTAACTTCTCATCCTTAAATATGATTGTCACTGGTTATGTTTTTCCTTTTTTTAAACACTATTGTTATTTACAGTGCAATGAATACTCTGGGGAAACCTATGAAATCTTTTTTTTTTTTTCTTGTACGGAAAGTGAAATTTATTCTACTTCCTTTTTAAAATAGCTCTAGAGTGAGTCTCCATGAACAACTGTACTGAATTTGTAGGTCTGTAGTAGAGTATTGTAAAACGCAAATCAGAAAATTATCTTTCATTTTAAAAATGTGTGTTTTGTTTTTTTTTACTCAGAAATATTGGGGAAAGCAAGTAGAAAATTTTGATTTCTACTTTTGTTAATATATAAAAGTTTATTACGTTAGAACTTTATTTTGTTGTTCTGTGATGGGAGAAGCTAAAGAAAGGGAATATATATATACCATTTGTGGAGCTGGTTAAATGAAGTGACCAGAATGTAGAAACTCTAGTGTTCAAGAGCATTCTTTAAAGCTGCTCCCTGTGCTGGTCATGGAGACGCTGCGCATTCTGATGGAGTCACGAGGGAAAGGGGCTGCTCAAGACTGCAGCATGGATACAGAGTACTAAGGTCAAAAAAAAAAATTGTGGGAATTATCATTGCTGCCTTTCCTCACAGCTTTGATGGTGCAGCTTTTTGTTATAATTTGTCTTTAATATCATGTTCTTACCTGCTATGCTAATTTTCTGACTCAGAGAATCTTTCTTGCCTGAGAAGTCAAACCAAATGGTCATTGGTTTTTTATGGATACTGCTTCAGCCTCAGCCCCCATTTCAAATTATCAGTGTGAAGTATTAATCCCTTCCTCTGTGTCATTTTAATGTAACCATGCTTTAAATCATTCAGATATATAACACATCTAGACTTTTTTAAAATTAATTAATTGTTTTTATTAAGGTATTATTGATACACACTCTGATGAAGGTTTCACATGAAAAAACAATGTGGTTACTACATTTACCCATATCATAGAGCTCTCCCCCCTCCATACCCCATTGCAGTCAGTTTCCATCAGTGTGGTAAGATGCCACTGATTCACTGTTTGCCTTCTCTGTGCTATACTGTCTTCCCTGTGACCGCCTCACACCATGTAACACATCTAGACTTTTATTTTGAAGGGCACATTGTTGCATTAATACATAATTCCTCCTCCCATGATAATTAAGTAGTCTTTTCTAAAAAGACGTGTTTGAACTTTAGAGTGGTATAATTTGTCAGCTGGGAGAGATCTTATGGATCCACCAAGCCAACCCTTTCTCTAGATGCTCAAGGAAACTAAGGCCAAAGAACTTGACTAAAATCACAAAGCTTCTTAGTGGAGAAACCAGCATATTTCATGCCTGAAGTCTTGCAGTTGCACTAAATATGTTTTGAAATGCAGAGTTTAAATTAGAAAAGCTCAACTAAGAATTGGGTTTATTCCCTTTTTTCTTTTCTACAATTGCTCAAGTGGGAAAATGCAATAGTATAATATTCTTGGGATTTTATACACCTTTCTAATATTAGACAATCCACAGGCAGCCAGGTTTCCTGGCTTAATGAGTAAAAATGCTGAAGGTTGGAGGGGCAGAAGGCAGTCACTCTGAAACTACTGGTTGCATATATAAGGTTTATCTTCACCGTAGACACCAACTTGGACCTAGGGCCATTTTCCTTTCTGTAAAATTTAATAAATGAGGTTGCAATATTTTTGTCTCTCTAAAGAGAAAAGGTAGGTACACTTTACAAGGAATTGTAGGATTAATTGACTATGCAAATAAATAAATTTGTATTGTCTACTGAATTCAATTTTCAGTGAATGTAGGAATTTATATTTGTACATCCTTGTTTTGTGTTGCATCTTTTATGCATTCTCCAGTTGCACACAGTGAGTAATCAACACTGTAGAAATAACTTTATTTTATTTATTTTTATTAGTCACATCAATTGTGAAGGCTACTTGTGAGGCAGCATTGAGTTGTATTTACATGTTGGGATGGGTAGCATGGTCCTAGAGGACCTTTTGGTGTCTCTGCACTCCAGCTTCCACATGAACTTGCTTGCGTTATTTCTTGGTTGCTATCCTAGGATCTAGCCCTGCTGAATATTCTTCATGCTTTAGCCTGTATTCTGACCACTGGTTTTTGCTCTGTTCCCTAGTTCTTCTGTGTCATAATTCTGTTCCTTTCTCACAGGCTAACTCAGTATCTACTATTTGAATGAAGGTTTCCCAATTGTAAATATTATAATAGTGGTTACTTCGTTTACTGAGCACTCAAGATGTGTCATGCCTTGCTCTAAATAATTTACATATGAATATGTAGTAGTTCCCCCCTTGTTTTCAGGGGATGTGTTAAGACCACCCCCAGTGGTTGCCTGAAACAGCAGATAGTACTGAACTGTATATGTAATTTATACTATGTTCTTTACTATACAGACATACCTATGGTACGGTTTAATTGGTAAATTAGACACAGGAAGAAATTAACAACTAAGATAAATTAGAACAATTGTGACCATATATTGTAATAAAAGTAGGTGAATGTGGTCCCACTCTCTCAAAATATCATAATGCACTGTACATTCTGGAGTGTTCTTTGCTTCCCTCTGATCTCCTATACCGCTTTTGTATGACTGTCTTTATGTTACCTGCCAAGTTCAGGTCCTGCATGGAAATATAGAAGTCTTAGATCTCTATACATTGTGTTCATGGTAAAAGATTTCTTGCCATCATATATATCGTGATTTTATAATTTTTTCATTCTTCCCCATTTCCTTCGATGTTTTACTGGTTTATATAAACACGGATTATCAGTGCACACTGGCCCCTCATGACTTAAGTATTTCACATAAAAGAAAGTTTTAACAAAACATGTGTTTTCTTTCTCAGATAGTCACTTTACAGTCTCTGTTACTGAGGAACTGGATAAAAACAGTCTGAGGTGGGATAAAGTATAAATTAGGTTGTCTCTTAGGTCTTTTTACATTTATTGTTTCCTATTAGTCCCATTCTACTGGTAGAAAACTGAAGCCAGAATGTTAATTTTCTCAAGGTCACATAACTGAGTCCTTGAGTGGTCCCCTCTGTTCTTAGGACCAGCAGACTCTGAGAGAACAGTGGTAGGTTATGTTCAGGAAAATTTCTCCTGGTAGAATATTCTCAGGTTGATTGTAAAAACAAACAAAAAATGTCTACAGGAATTCCTGAGACATGGTATACTTCCCACTAGGATTTGAGTTATTTCAGGAGTATGCTGATAGGGATAATAAAAATTATGGACAGTTTGTTAGTTTTGCCTTATACACTTCAAAAGGGCAACAAATGAAAAGGTAAATTTGGAATTAACTCAAGCAAATGAGGTGTAGACTGTTTAGGCATTTCTAAGAAGGAGGTAGTGATGAAGTGGTTTTAGACCTTTCTGGACATGTATCCTTGGAATAGGGTTAGTCTTACTTACAAGTGAGTGAGTCATGGAAGCACCAGGGGAGACCTTTCATAGCTTTGTTTCTCTGGGCTGTGAATGTTTTTTAATGCTTTGCTGTTAAAATATAGCTACCTTTGTGAGGTGGTGAGCTTTATTGTTTCAGTAGCTAGTGAAGTGGTGGCACCCAGGCTAGGACAGTAGGGACCTGATAGAAATAATAGGACAGACTGAGGACCTAGCCCTGCTTCTTAAGACATGAAGGTCTTTATTTTAGGGGGAAAAGGCTTTTTTTTTTTCTAATAATGGGTCATTGAAGTAATAGCACTGTTCAAATGGCTGATCTGAGGATAAGTAACATGTCCAACCACTTTCATAGTTATAAGATTTCTTCCAGTGTTGTATGTTGTTATCATTGAAGAAGGAGGGAGAAAACAACTAAGTGGAGGTGGTTTGACACAATTGGGTCAGAGATGTCTCCTTATTTAGAAACCCAACAGGGGCTATTAGAAGGTATTTTCTATTTTTGCACAAAAATCAGCTATAAATAATAAATTGTTCAAAGCAGAGACCAGAGAAGTTCTCTGTTGGCTGAAGTGGTTGACTTGGACACAGTTAGTCCAGAGGACTGTCAGCCCTGTATGTTTTGATCTGAATAACCATGATATTTAGATTTAAATGTAGAATAATTGTAGAGTTTTCAAACTAAAAGGGACCTCAGAAATCATCTAGTCCAGTGGTTTTCAAACTTGATTTTAGCAGCATACTTTTTCCTTTAAAATGAAACCTTAGGTGGAACCCCAATTTGTAAAAACTGGTAAGAATAACAAGTGGGTTCCTCTGGCCTTTTAAAAATCTTCATTGTTTGGGGGAAAAGGTCTTCATTGCTTACAGAATCCCATAAGCACCTCAGATGGCCCAGTTTGAAAACCACTGATCTAGTCCAACCCTTTCATTTTACAGATGAGCAAACTGAGGTCCAGAGAGGTTAAGTGGCTTGCCAAAGGTCTCACAGCTAGTCGTGGAAGAGCCAGGACTAGATCTCAGGTCTCTTGATTCCCAGTCCAGTGCTCTTTCCACTACACCACACTGCCAGTAAGGTAGGTGTTGTGTTAGCATTATGTTCATAGCTATTAACAGTCTTCAGTATTTTCCAACTGATTTATGCTGGTGATATGTGTTGAATGTTGAAGTGTATCATTTAGAAATGTATAGGATATAAAAATGCAGATTACAATCACAAAAGATACACTCTCAGAAGATAAACTGATACCTAGAATATTTCCTTTGACTCCTAAAAATTACCTTAAAACAATCCATTTAGGTGTAATGTCTGAGATATATAAGGCATTTTAGTCTGGTATCAGTGATCAATATGGATGGAGTCAGTCTATTTTAGTGCAGACACGTACTTTGATGGGAGCCACAGAGACCTCTGGCCGCCTCTCCCATGGAGACCGTGCTCTGCTGTCATTTCTAGTATCGGCCAGGCTCCTGGCTCCGGAACAGTGTACCTTTCTTCAGCATGTAGTGGTCATCTTCCATTCGTTTCACACTGAGCTCTGTAGAGTTGCCCTCCATTTTGTGTGTGCCTCTTCCTCCATCTCTGATCTCTTTAGCTTTCTCAGTCTGGTGTGAAATTATCAATGGGGTGTACCATCAAGGGACATAGGGGATGGTTCGTGGCGGAATCCTATTGCTCTAACGATTTCTATTATGGAGTCAGTTTCCACTCATACCCCTCCTGTATTATCAGACAAAAACTATCCTAGAGGCTAGGGAAAGGGTTCTTAAGGCCTTATTGTTAAAGGTATGTGGAAATCTGCAGCTTCTATGACTTGGTAGAATTCTTACGGGGAAATATCCCAGGTTAAAGAGATGTTTCCACTGGTCTAAGAATAGTGTGCTTGTTTTATATAGACAATCAGATATGAAGTAAAAAATGAGTTTGGGAGCTGTGAGTCCAGTTACAGTTGGATGCTGTTTGCTTGTATTTTACTGAGTATATCCAGTTTGTGTCTAAGAATGGAGATCATACTGAGCCTGGAAATACTTCCTTGGCCCTCTTTGTGTTTGAGAATCTAGGAGCAGTAACTAGTTATCAGCTCTCACTTACCGTATTCCTTCTGAAAGCCCAAGCTCTGTGTATCCCGTGATGAAGAGCAAACAGGGTGTGCCTTTCTGCCCTGGGACCCGATGACCCAGGCAGGTAACACAAGCTCTTGGGGTAAGTTTCCCCAATTTTAAAATCAGGGAGTTCACCTACATTTTCCTGCTAGTCCCAGCTGGCTCTGTAGGACTGTCAAGTCATTATCTTGGTGACCAGAGGTAATGTCCAAGTCCCAAAGGTTGCATTGCTCTGTTAGTTCAATTTGATCAGTGCTTTTCAATAGAACTTTCTGCGCTGCAGTGATGGGAATGTTCTGTATCTGTGCAGTCCAGTACCATAGCCACTAGCCACAGGTGGCAGTTGAGCACCTGAAATGTGGCTAGTGTTACTGAAGAACTGAACTTTAAATTTTATTTAATTTTGAGAAGCTTAATGTAAATTTAAACAGCCACATGTGGCTGCTGTATTGGACAGCACAGCTCTTGGTTGTTCTCTGATGTGAAAGTTAGATGCCAGTGGATAAAGGGGGTAGGTGTACTGTAAGAATTCCTCAAGAGAGAGAAGCCCTTTTACCTTGATAACTCTTCACCAAATAAAATGAGTCTTTGGGTAATTTGTTAGAAATCAAGTACTCTCTTTTGAACGAACATGTTATCTACAGAGGGAGATTGGGTTTCCTCTTATTTGTTACCTAATTAATAACCACATTGAGCTTCAACTGAGAAGACATCTGTTAGCTTGATGAGAAGTGAACCATTTTCTCACATGTGCCGTCTTGTGATCGTTTCGGTCTAGCGTGGGTTTCAGTGAATTCCCACAGGTCTTCTGGGAAGCTGAGTTCAGAAAGTTTCTGGCCAGTAAAGAAATATTCTGTTTATATTGTAAGTTCAAATGTGAGTGTCTGAACTATGCTGGCTTCTGAGGACATTATGAAACAAACTCTTTTTCTTCCCCCCTTAGAACCAAAGAAAATGGCTTTGACAGAGAGCCTTTGCACTCAGAACATCCAAGCAAGCGGCCGTGCACTATCAGCCCAGGCCAGCGGTACAGTCCAAATAATGGCTTGTCCTACCAGCCCAACGGCCTGCCTCACCCCACCCCACCTCCACCCCAGCATTACCGTTTGGATGATATGGCCATTGCCCACCACTACAGGGACTCCTATCGACACCCCAGCCACAGGGACCTCAGGGACAGAAACAGACCTATGGGTAAGACTGAAGGATCTGTTCACTGCTTAAGGAATTGGATGCTTGAGACTCGCATCATTACTTAGCTGAACTTGAGGTTTGAAATAAGTGATAGGGTAAAAATTCTCTTGCTTCATAATATTTCCTTTATGAGAAACTTGGTTAGTATTAACATTTTATTTAACAGTTGTGCTTTCTCTTCCTTAATTACTTAAGTTCTTCACAGCAGGTAAATTTATTTTTGGAGGGGGGCATCTAAATGAATACAGAACCCTCAACAAATGCAAAGTGGAGTTTTAGCTTGATTCTTTTAATACTAGAGATTTCATATGCAATCTGCCTCAAATATTGTTAAAGGTCAATTTCTTTCCTCTCATTGTGTCTTTTATTTCAGATAGTCTTGAAGTTCATTTCGATTTGTTTCAGTGTCCCTGATATTCTGTATTTGAAAAATGTGATATAGTATAATGTTTCTGGCTTAAAAGATGTTCTTTGAGGAATGATTTGGTACTTTTTTTTTAACCTGAAAATGACAGTGATTAAATTTGGTATTAACAATTGTGTGTCAAAGATCAGAACACCAAAGAAAGAAAGTTTGGGTAAATAATGTATTCCATTTGCCAGTGTTCATTTCCTCTTTAAATAAAACCATTGGAAATGAAGCATTTAGGAAACAGTTGCCTTCCAAAAAACAGTTGTTTGTGTGAAAGATGAGAGGGGAGATGAATAAGGTAAGTTTTAATCCACCAAGTCACTGGGTGAAGGGATGGAGTCAGAACACTGTTCCTGGGGCTCCTTTAATTCTTAGTTTTTGGTGCACAGGCTCTTTATAAACTGAGAGCAACAGTCAACCCTTCATTTTTTTCCCATCTCCCCAGTGCATGCCACACCCCAGCAGAACTTCCTCACCTCAGAGCTAATTGCCGACAAACTTCCCTGACACAGGCAGTCTGGTGGCCAGGATGTTGTCCACAGCCAGGGATGATGAGTCCAAGTGGAAAACCAGAACCCAGAACTAAGGATGGAGAACTCTGGGAAATGCAGCCAGCCATTCACACGCTGCTTGAATAGTAGGGACAGTGTTGTTTAGCTACAGGCAGAGAGCCCAAAGAGCAGACCTTCATGTTAGACTTCTAACTAGGTTATTAGCAAATAAAGGCTGCCAGATGTAGGGTCTTCTTGTCTTTCTACACACAACCCTGCAAAGTTTAGAAAGCTTTAGAAAGGGAGAGTCAGTGTCAGAGGAGAGGTGATTGAGACCCTGGTTGTAAGATAGTAAAATAGCTCTGCTTTTCCCCGCAGCACTCACATCTACATTTGTATAGTGTGTCAGACAAATGGCTAAGCAAATAATTTGTGCTTTCTTAATAGCCAATCTAATGTTCTCTCAGATAACATTTCTGAAGAGCTCTCCAAAGTGGTTATGTTGTTTCTCAGTCTGGATTAATATCTTGACCCCAAAATCAAATGTGGTAACAATCCCCTTCTAAGCAAAAGCCTGGCCATTTATTTATGACTTAATGTCCCCAAAGCATGATTGCTTATTTCCAAATGGAAGTGGAGTCAAGGTCATGGTAAGACCAGTTCCAGACATCTCACTTTGTAGGTACTAGGAAATGGTCTCATTCTTCTGCAGCAAATGCTATTTCATAAAGTACTAGTTCCAATGCAGTATAATCAGCAAAGAAGTAATTACACTCAGGCACAGTGAGTATGTTTGCATCTAGTAATGAAAGATATCCTTTTATGAATTATATCAGTATCCACTGATTTTATGTGATTTTTCTTTAGACCATGTTCCTTACCTTTTAATTAGCTTATAAAACTAATAGTGCTAATCTCTATAAATATATACAAATACTTAACCATCCCTAAAGTGTGGCAGAGCTTAGTGTGTGTTAATGTAAAATAAAAACTTGATGTATGAGAAACTAATTATGGTGGTACATCAGGTGACCATTTTGAGAGTATAAAAATTGTCATGAAGTCATAGTATGGTTACGATTTATATATGCCTATTATATGCAGAGAAATATACTCACTAAAATCCTTTAATAAAGTAACTTTACAAGCAGCCTTAGTTTATAAGTAACCTTAGGGTCTTAGCCTGTTTAGCTGAAATCTTCTCAAGCATAAGAACCAGGCAGTATGTCAAATTTCCCACAAATGAAAATGTGATCTTAATGATGATGAGCTGTTTTCCCATATTATATCCCTCTGATGTTACAAATATAAATAGAAACTGTGTTGATGAATATTTAAGTATCTGCAATAGAAAAATTAATCAATATAAATGAGTTTTATTTTTTCTTTCAAAAGCAGCAAATGAGCCCTATATTTCTTCACCAAGTACTTGGGCTCCACCATCTTTCTGATGTACTTATTTTTTTAAATGTGATGAAGCTTAGCTGTGTTCCACAAATGCTGGAATCCCTCCCATTGGCCACAGACATCCTGTTGCTTATTAATATTATTCCAGGTGTTAGAGTTCATATCATTTGTGATTCAGTATGCTGAATTTTGGGAACATTTGAGACCACTGGAGTTCTTGGTTTTTAAAAATAAATAGGATGTCGCTATGGTGAAAGTCAGTGCCACATTTATATCTTCATTGCTCGGTGGTTGTTTTTTTGTGATGACTCACTACAACGTAGTGCTTTTTTCCTAAAACACAGGCAACAAATAAATCAACAAAAATTACATATTTGCAAACATTTCAACTTGCAATAGTCACAACAAACAGAGCAAGAACTAAATAATACTTTTCCCCAATGTCTTTTCTGTTATGCAAATTAACACATTTGCAATTTTACTTTTTTACCAATAGGTGGCATTGACAATTTTAACTTAAATTTGACAAGAATAATGCAAAGTGTTTTATATTTAGCTTCTTATTTAGTCTGAGAAAGAGCTGTCGTATATTTGTTCACTTCCATCAGCTTTAAATGAAATATTTTGTGGTTGGCTGAGAGGAGTCATGTGACTCATGTTATTTTTCTAAATCGGCTGACAGAGGGGACTTCTAACTATTCAGATTTCACAAAAAGTGGAATGCAATGTCTCTCCACTTTACCACCATTTAACTCCTCCATAATGCTCTCAGAGAAGGACCCTAGGCTTCTAGAAGCCCAAACCATATCAGGCTTAATTTGCTATTCAGCATAACATCTACAAAGAATAGTTTCAGTCTTTTAAAATAGAAAATACTGCTGTAGTCCAGTGCCTTTCCTTTGTAGTATAAAATGTGTATTATTCATAACAAAATTTGGAAGAGGAGCAGTACATCTCCAGGTATCTGTGTTGAGACCTTTCCATCCAATTTCTTAGTGAGACACATGTATTTTCTATTTTGATGAGCGTCCTAGCCAATTGCTCATGTTCCTTCCTATTGTTACTCACTAGTAGGCATTGCCGTGTTACTTTTTCATGGTAAAAAACGTTGGTACTTGTACTGTGGATTACAGGTTAGAATTTTCAATTTCTTGGCTGGGAATGTCAGTCTTTGTCCAAAATTATATCTGATGTTGATTTTTTTTTTCATGGATGATAGTTTATTTCTTATTTTAAATTTTTTAGTCAATTAAATATTGTAGCTTTCCTATTACACAAGCCCTTTTAATGGCCTAATTTTATCATGTAGGTATGTGTAATATACGTTCATTTACGTTATGCTGAAATGTAGAAACATTTTACTATGCTTCTTTGAGAAGAGCATGTCCCAGCCCATATAAAACGATTTATGCTGCCTTTATTTTTAATGCAGGAAAGCCACAGTTTGAAACCACTTAACATTTACTTGTGGTTTCTTGTATTTATTAAGAGTTAGGATATACTCATATTTTCACTTTAAGAATATGACAGATAACTAGCTCAGGGCTTGGTGTCACTTTATTCTTCGTTTCTTCATCTGTAAAAGGAAGAGTCTGACCAGATGACCTCTGAAATTCCTCCTAGTGCTAATATTTTATTATTCTGTGAGGAGCCCATTAGGTAATTCTGAATCTGACTATGACTCATGTCTCCATTCAAAGTCGAATATATTTTCATATCATTTAGTTTGCCCACATAATCTTTGCCGAGTACCTGTGTGCATATGGATTATGTCCTGAATGCTTTAGGGTGATTCAACCTCGTCCTCTGCATTTGTAGGGTTGCATGGCACACGTCAAGAAGAAATGATTGATCACAGACTAACAGACAGAGAATGGGCAGAGGAATGGAAACATCTAGACCATGTAAGATGTCGGTAATCATTTAGTTTAAAAATGTTTTGAAACAAGTGGAATGAGGTTATGTAATCAGAAGTATGGGGATGTGCTGAAGGTATTATGTTTCCTGCTATCCTGGGAGAAAATAGTGAGTATGTTTGAAGTAGAATATAAGATTTGATTTCTAAGTTGGTATCAAAGCCACTTATGTAAGAAATGTGTAGATCATGGAAAGGAACCCTCAAAGCCAAATCAGTGGACTACTGTTTTATTGCAAAAGGTCCATTCAATTTATACAGTAGTGGGATGAATATTTGGAAAGGTAGCTGTGTGCCTTTAGCTGAAATCTCTTTGTCGGCACTCATATGCATGCCTCCCACATTTTACTTATACCCCCATCTTATCTGTTGGGTCTCAATTTCACATTTAACCTTTGAAGGTAATAAGACTGAAGGTAGACTGAAGGCCTCAGGAATCAAATAGCATCCTTCATTGTCCTAAAATAGTTTGTTTCACTAGCACCAGAGTTTTTAAGTTGTGGTGATTGATACATTCTTCCCTTTGCCCTGTGTTTCCCACATAGCTGTTGAACTGCATAATGGACATGGTAGAGAAAACAAGGCGATCTCTCACTGTACTGAGGCGATGTCAGGAGGCAGACCGGGAGGAACTCAATTACTGGATCCGGCGGTACAGCGACGCTGAAGACTTAAAAAAGGGCGGCACTAGCAGTGGTCACTCCAGGCAGCAGAGTCCTGTGAACCCAGACCCCGTGGCATTAGGTACCTTTCCTTCAGGTGGACGTCGTGAACGGACACTTCTTATGCTACTAATGCTGATTTCAGTTTTAACTTGTCTTTTTAAAAATAAAGGATGTGTAGGGACTTAGAATAATAAACACTTTATATATCCTCAAATATGTCTTGTCTGTCTGTCAGGAAAGCAGGCAGTTTGGCTTATACAGAGGCAGTTACAAAAGCAACTCACTTTTCTAGGTTGAAGTGTTGGGCTTGTGGCAAAGCTTCATGCTGGACTAGAATTTCATAGGCATCCCTAAAACACATATGCATATGTGCTCCCTTCATAATGCAACTGTGGATCCTGCCTCTAATCTGCAAAAAACAAAATCTCAGGGTGTGGGACCCAGGCTTTCTGTTTGTAGCCAACTCTCTGCAGAATTCTCTGCTGCACACCCACGTTTGTGAGCCCTGCACACAGGGATGTGTGTTGCCTGATTTTTAATTGAACACACAGTCTCTAAGATAGTCTTGCTTTGTAGCTGTATTTTATATTAAAAAAAAAAAAAACACTTTTAACTCCAGACTCCTCCAGGAAGTGACCTAATGGCTGTGCAGTTTGCCCACAGCCACTTGCAAATTAGCAAGAAAGATGTAGCTGTCTTCTGAGACTTGACCTTAGATTGTTTAAAGTTTTATTAATTCTAGGTATATACAGGACTGTTAGAAATGGAACGCTAACATGTAGCCACATTAGCATTGCTATTTGGGGATTGTTGGGTTATAAATAAAACATAATTGCCAATATATGGAAAGAAATCTTGAACCTGAGAACATTTTTGAGTGGCCTGTAAATTTTTGCCTAAATTAATACTGAGGTATCATCATTGACATTACTGGCCATTACATGTGTATACCCTCTGAGTAAGTGTATACCCTCCAAGTTGTTATCAAAGCCACTTATGTAAGAGTCTGCTTTTACTCGCTATACTTCCATTCTCTTAGTCGAGATGGATTTCTGTAGGTCCCTGATCTCACCTCATTTTCTTATTTGTTTAGCTCCCACTTGACTGCTAACTCAGGATAGGGTCTGGTCTGCTCTGTAAAACAAAACTAATCATACATGTACAGATTAAGCTCATGACTTTGGCCTCATTTTCACCATGGCTGATTATCAAAATTTAAAAGCTTGAAGTATAGTATCTGGCTACTGATCATATTGTCTTTTTTATTAATATTATTCCTATCTAATGAAGTTTCCTTTGTACTTAGGTTTGTGGATTCCTGCTAATCCCTGAATGCTGAATGTCTTAACAAAATAAGTATTAAATACAGGAAGATTCTAAGTCAATTTACCCAACAGACATTAATTGAAAGCATACTTTAAACACATGTGTATTTGTTAGGATACATCAAGGCAAGCAATGAAAATAGGTTTAAATTTAATTTGAACTGACAGTGGTCCAAATAAAACTATTTAGAGCAGAGTAAAATAAACATTTGTTTCTTTACTTCTTTATTGTGAATGCAAGTTGGTCATTCATGACAAATCTGCAACGATAAATAATAGGAATATTTGTAATCATCCAATGTAGGCAAAAATTGGTAACTTTAAACTAAATAAAACTTTGGGAGTAAAACTGTCCCATTTAGCCTGCTCTATTGAACAAATGCATTTAGTCAGTATTTATTTATTGAGTGTTTACTACGTACCAGGCATCATGCTGGGCACCATTATAGAGGAAAAAGATTCTTTATTCTCTCCCATGAGGAACTTTTGATCTATTATAGGAAATAGTCAGGGCCACAGATGGTGGTGTGGCACCAGGTGGCCACTTTAGTTCAGTCTCCTGAACTGACAGGCACTGATAGGACTTTATACCTAGTGAGTTGTTTTCGGCTCACAGAACACAGGACACCTCACTTATTATAGGCACCACTGTTGCACATGCGTTCTGGCAACACAGATGCATATTATTCTTGAGGAAGATAAGTTTAGTTTCCCTTTTATGTAACCAAAAGAATAAAGTTGGTTTTAAAAGCTTCTTTACTTTCAGTGATGCTTAATGTATTCATGTTTTTGTAAAACTGAGAGGTTGCTTCGGCTTTAAGCTTTTAGAGTTTGTATTATTCAAATGCTACAATTTCAGCTGTTTGCTTGGACTCTGTTAAAACAGTCATGTTCTTTAGCAACCCAGAACCCTAGATTGCTTTTTAAGAAACTACCACAACCTCCAAGGGAACTTGTCAAGAGCCATATGATACGCAAGTTTTAGCGTCCAGCAGTTACTTCATTATGCATCCTCACTAGTCTTCAAGGCTTTTGAGTTCCATTTTGTGTGACTGTAAATAAGAGGATGGGTGGTTTATAATCATGGACTACAGTCATTTATTTTAAATGCTAAGATTCTGTCCTGGGTTTTGGAGTTGAATGTATTGATGTATAATGAAAGGATTGGAGGTGATAAGCTAATTTATTTTCTGCCTCTGAAAAATGTGGAGTGGGGTGTATGTGTAAAGATAGAGCTATGGTTATGTCTGTATGTTTATGTACATGAATCTCTGTGTCCTACAGTTACGTTACATGTGTTTCTTTTAGCTTGATTCTCTCAATTCTTAAGCTGCTGTCTGGTCACAGATGAGACCTTCAGAATAACATAGAAGATAACTTTAGTTCAAAATACTGCCCTGGTTACATGCTTGGCCTGGAAACACTGGCAGTAGTTCTGGCAACACAGATGCATATTATTCTTGAGGAAGATAAGTTTAGTTTCCCTTTTATGTAACCAAAAGAATAAAGTTGGTTTTAAAAGCTTCTTTACTTTCAGTGATGCTTAATGTATTCATGTTTTTGTAAAACTGAGAGGTTGCTTCGGCTTTAAGCTTTTAGAGTTTGTATTATTCAAATGCTACAATTTCAGCTGTTTGCTTGGACTCTGTTAAAACAGTCATGTTCTTTAGCAACCCAGAACCCTAGATTGCTTTTTAAGAAACTACCACAACTTCCAAGGGAACTTGTCAAGAGCCATATGATACGCAAGTTTTAGCGTCCAGCAGTTACTTCATTATGCATCCTCACTAGTCTTCAAGGCTTTTGAGTTCCATTTTGTGTGACTGTAAATAAGAGGATGGGTGGTTTATAATCATGGACTACAGTCATTTATTTTAAATGCTAAGATTCTGTCCTGGGTTTTGGAGTTGAATGTATTGATGTATAATGAAAGGATTGGAGGTGATAAGCTAATTTATTTTCTGCCTCTGAAAAATGTGGAGTGGGGTGTATGTGTAAAGATAGAGCTATGGTTATGTCTGTATGTTTATGTACATGAATCTCTGTGTCCTACAGTTACGTTACATGTGTTTCTTTTAGCTTGATTCTCTCAATTCTTAAGCTGCTGTCTGGTCACAGATGAGACCTTCAGAATAACATAGAAGATAACTTTAGTTCAAAATACTGCCCTGGTTACATGCTTGGCCTGGAAACACTGGCAGTATTGTCATACACACGTTCTTAGCATTTTAAAATTGTACTTGGGGACTGCACAGAGGAGAATACAGCTTCCATGACTTCACTGTTGTGCTTGTGAAATGAGTCCCATTCTCCCTTCTGAAGTACAGAAGTACACCTATAGTATTTATTCAGTGTGAGGGATTAGTAAGGTAACATGATTAATCTATTACTATCAAATTTTGGGAGTTTTCCCCAGATAACTAAAGACTATTTTGAATAACCTCTTAAATAATTTTAAAATTGAGTATATGCTGAGCCCATAATGTTATTTCCATTCTTTAAGTCAAAAATTTAAAGGTTGATATCTTGAAGGAATCTTGGAAATAATAGGTTTTTCCTTGAAATAACAGGTTTTTATTATTTTTATTATTATTTGCTTCTTAGGAAAATTCCAAAGATCCAACTCTAACAAAATTGGAAAGCTGATTTTTTTGAACAGTTTTCTCTATTTTTAGAGTACGACTTGTTCTTTATACATTTAAGTTTTGTTATGTTGTGCACCTCACTGAAGAGCATGTTAATGCCGTCAGAACTGGCAGATTTGATTGCCGAAGCAGAATTGCTTTTATCCGTGTAGGTAGGTAGGTAGCTACTGGTTAGTACTTCAGGTGCTCTCTGAGCATTTACCTGGGTCCCCGTGATTCTGCTTTTCTCTTTTGCCTTCATTTTCTTTTTCTGTCAGTATGTTGTTGACTTCACTCACTCCTTGGCTCCTGACATTTTATCTCCATTAAATTACTTTCTTTTTACTGCCTTTTGACTATTCTAGAATCTTTCTACAGTTCATCTCATATATGTGGGCCCTCCCTCTACAGCATTAGAGTTATAAGAACTACCTAATGATGGATTTAAGACTAATGTCAGACTGAGGCATGAATCTCTGAAATAGTAGTGCATTGTTCCCTGTGTTTTGTGAATGTTTGAATATTGTGATGAGAGTATAAAATTTAGAAAATGCCTTCATGTGTGTTTTGGTAAGGGTTTAACACTTGCCAGGAAGAAAAATATCAGAAAGAGGGGTGTTTTTTGGTTTGCTTATTTTAAATGCTATAGAAAGTCAAGCTGATCATTCATAAAAAGTTTAGGAATTCAGAAGTTTATTGAACTAATGCCTCTAGTAGACTGGTAGAGGAATTAGTATTTTAAAATTCCTCTGGCTGGCAAGATTTTATGAATGTCATCTAATTTGAACTACAGAATTTCTGATTACTTTCTAAAACCTCAGGATATCTAGCATGAAGGTTAAAATCACAGGTACTGAGTAGATTGCCTGTATTTGAACCCCCGGTTCCTTTACTTACTAGTATTTTTACCTTCAGCAAGTGATGCTCTGTGCCTGTTCCCTCACCTATGAAATGGAGATGGTAATAATACATACTTAATAGGTGTTTCTGTATTAAATGAGTTAAAGGGGCAGTGCCTGACACATAGTAGATAGGGTATAAGTAATAGCTATTGTTATTTCTAACATACATTCTCAAAAGAAACTTTAAATAATAATGGCACATAAAGCTAGCATTTTGCTTGACATCCAAGATTACAAAATTAGAGTAGATTCTTAGCTATATTTTTATTCTGGAAGTATTTCTAAGGAATAATTTTTAGGTACCTACTTTAATAGGCAGAGAAACTAGAATAGGGAAATTCTGTCTTAAACTCAGTAAGTCTATCGAATCTGCACCCTTAATTCATAATACAAGGCTATAGAAAAATAGTTCACTCCCAACCAAGAAATAAATTATGTCTCACTATCAGGTTGTTAAAACAAGTTATTCAGAATATATCTGCATGAAAAAGTTTGGAGTTTTATGCACTTGTATTTTTCAAGACCATTCAGCCAAGCTCTTAATGTGTTTAAATATATTGGGTTTAAGAAGATGTGACTATTAGTTAAATATGTCCATCTTTTAAAAAACAAAGAGAAACACCTCCTGGAGCATCGGGTATTTTTATTGTTAATACAGGAAATCTTACAGCAGTTGCTGGCTTCTGGGTTGGATTTGGGCTTGTGAAACATAATACTGAAATTTCTGAATTTATTATCCTTAAAAACAAAAACAAGTAACATTTGTAAAATATGGACTCACTTAACCTTTCCTTTCTTTTGGTGGTTTTTGTAATAGATATTTTCATGATCATAGCCTCATTCTGCCCACTACAGGATGAAGGCCATACCTAGGTGCTGCCAAGCTTTGAGCATTGCTGTCCTTGGTCAGATGAGGTCACATTGTTCTTCAAAGGCTCTCAGCTCATCCCTTCATGTGTATTGATGGCGGCCCTTGCTGTATCTAGTATCCAATGGTCTCCATTCTGTCGTAAGTGTAGCGCATCAACATCGTAGATTGCTCCTTCTGTTCCTTCACATTTCTTATAACATTTCCCTCATTTTGACTTGATGTCCTCTCTTCATAGGTGTGTGTTATCTTCCAGAGGCTCCCCTCCTCCTCGTCTTCCACCCCCTCACAGTTTGTATCCTCAGCATAATTTAGAAGGACTTCGCTATAATTTCTCTATTCTACAGTAGTTACATATGTATAGATTTCACATTTTCAACCATCTCATATAGGCTCTTCTGTCTTTGTTTCTGTGACTACATTTTAGTGTAACTATCCATTTTATAGCAAAGGATATTTTATAGGTGATCAAGGTTTAATGGGTAAAATTACCTTCTTTAGAACCAAAGCCTTAGAAATAGAGGTTTATCTAGATTAGCCAATATTCTACAGTAAGAAAGTCCCAGGAGAAAAGTTGTCTCTTGTTCTAATATTGATCAACTTAAAGCTTTTTTTTTTTAACTCCATTTTGCTAATACATCTATTAGTGATCATTCCTTTGGTAGACTTGATGTCTAGACAGGGTGTCACAGTAATGTAGAAATGAAGAGGATATTATAAAATAGGTATATGTATGTATATTTTACAACTGTTGTTTGCCTTTAGATTCTGTTTCTATTTTGAAAAAAAAATTAGGAAGGACAGAAGTAAGAAAACCTTTGCTTGGTTGGTTCTGGTATTTCTATCTGGTTTCTAGGTTAGATGGAGTGTGAGTCTGTGGGCACGGCAATGTGTCAAGAATTTGAGGGAGGTGTAGTCAAGGTGGAATACTGTGTAACTTCTGGTGTGGTTTGTGGACTGTCAAGCTCTCCACATGGCAAGATGGGAGCACTGTTGAGCCCACCTTCATTATCTTTGAGTAAATTCGGATATAAACATTGATGAGGTTAAAATAAAATGTATAGAAAGATCATCGAAGTAATTTGTGGACTTTCCACCAAGGAATAAGACAGTGAATTGCTAGCTATAGAAATAACATCAAACTCCAAGTGACATATACTTGGGGAATTAAAAGTTACTGGTGTATATTGTTTAATCCAACCTGTTCAATGGTTTTGCTTTCTTTAAAGTTTTACGCAATGTGGATTTAAGTGTTGGGAGGAAAAAGAAACTTTAAGGTGTTTTTTTTTTTTACCTTAGTTATATGGAAATAAGTATATATCCATTCTCAAAGGACAACCTACTGAATAACAACAGTGATAATAATAATGAGGGTAATAGCGCCTGAAGTCTAGTGAGTGTTCAGGATGTGCCATGCTGAGCCTGTAACAGGAAGTACCTCAATTCGGTCCTCACAGAGTGCTCCGCAGTAGGGTGGTACTGTCCCTGTTCTACAGATACGGTGACAGGCCTTGAGAAACTAGCTTGCCCGGTGTCACCCAGCTAGTAGGTGGCAAGCCAAGATTCAGCTACCCTCACTGGACTTGAGGACTAACGCTTCTGTCTGTGTTGCCTGGGGCTGGTTCTCAGTATCTTTCATGCATGAACTTGGATAACTTAGCTAGCATCACCTTTCCTATTTCCTATAGTAAAGAGTCGCCATTTATTAAAAAAAAAAAATTGGTATAAACTTACTGGTCTCTCCATTTTATATTTGGAATACTTTTAGATTAACATAATACATGAAAAACTTTATTTTTTTTTACTGCTTTGGGGAAGGCATGTTTTTGTTTTTTTCTGTCTTTGTAGTTTACAAATCTATTCTCGTCCATTAGGTTACACTTATACCAAAGTCTTTTCCTAAAAATTTGTTTTTGAAAGTAGTTGTAAGCAAATCTCTTTTTCAGTGTGTTATATGGCTAAATGTGAACTTGATTGCACTTTCTTCTTCTGAGAATAGTTATAGTGGTGAAGTTTATCTTGACAAATCTAATTAGCCATATCACAGTTCCCTGAAGTTGGTTGTATGCACCAGTTTTATTTAGCTGTTTTTCAAATGAAAGTTACTTAAATAAAAACATTTGGTTTTCAGCCCTTTATAGAAATGAATGTGCTGATGAGAATGCATGGGTATTTCCAGCCCATCCAGTTATCAAACAGTCATGAAATTAACAATGTAAACTTTTAAAAATAAACATTTTATATTTGAAATACTTTTAGATTTAAAGAAACATTGCAAAGATAGTACAGAGAGTTTCCATACACCTTTCACCAAGCTATAATAAACTTTTGATAATTCAGAATAGTTGGGAAAATCTTGTGTTCTGACCAGCTGATAATCTATGTATCCTAGAAAGATTGAAAACATTCAGATTTATCTAAGGGATTCAAATGTACAATGATACGTACCTCACTAAATTGATTGTGCTTTTTCTCTCTTTTCAATATTCTGTAGCTCTATAAAAACAGAAAACTGGACTGAATTTCTTCTGACTTTTAACGTACTATTAAAGTATTGTTTTAAAAAAATCAGTCTGCTACTTGACATTTCTTATAATGTAGAGGAAATTTCAGTTACTTGAAATTTATCATAAGTTTGAATGTATTGTTAGATTTATAAAAGCTGAAGTGATTTTTTTCTTTCCCAAAAATGTCTAAATACATATATTTTTGTAGAAAATACAGTAGGGATGACATATAGGGTGCATTTTAGGTATAGAAGACCATATACACTAAGTTTATTTTCATGTGTATTTAAAAAAATACAGAAGTTTTCATGTCATTTCCATGAACATCTTATTTTTAGGTTAGCATTCCTACAATTTTATTTTGATCTGTTCTCTCAGACTTTTAAAATTTGACAAGCATAATAAGCACAGCATTTCATTTAAAGTGCAAGTTCATTTTCTTTTTTGGAAAGCATCTACTAATTCTGTTTCATTAACCGAATTATCTGTGAATCCATTCTAATGATTTTGTCTTGCTTCTGCCCACATCAAATCCTTATGATCTAATTTGTGTGAAAAATTTTAATGCGCATTGAAATTTCAAAGAAGTAGCTAAGTGTGAGAACTGGTTAGCCATGGAGGAAGGCTCACTATTTATTGCAAGGTGGTAGAATCAGAGCTATATGAAACTTATATTACCCTAATGTTTGCTTCTTTAACTACCAGTTTTACTCTTGACAAGAAAACTACCAAATACAGTTTATTTTATTTAACAAAATAAAATATACCCATAGAAATTCCCATAATGAGGATGTGTTGAATACAGTGTTCCCAGACATCATATGATACAATGAAATCCTTCAAGTTGTGTCAGCTTTGAGCATACAATGCATTTGGACCAGTGACCTGTTTTCCTTGAGCCCTGATGACTGGCCTTGCTATTACTGTTTGTTTCCTAGAAGTGAACTGCTTAGCCTTTTAAAATTACATTTCTGTAGAGAAGCCAAGAGCATGGGCATTGCTTACGTCGACTCTTTAGTAATGACAGAACAGTGCTTATGTGTTTTCCTCCCCTCTCCGCCCGCTTTGTATCCTTTTCATAGATGCACATCGGGAATTCCTTCACAGGCCTGCTTCTGGATATGTGCCAGAGGAGATCTGGAAGAAAGCTGGTAAGAATTGTTTAAAAACATGAGTTTAGTGTTCTGGCAGCTGTGTGCAGTTGTTAATGCAGTGATGTGAAGAATGACAAGAAAGGACTTTCCTGCTAACAGCAACAAAACAACAACCCCCCAACCCCAACAAAATTTAAAAATCCTGATTAATATTCTTTAACCAGGCCTGGTTAGAACTTGAAACAGTTTCTAGTAGCATCTGCTAGTACCACTGTAATTGAGAGACTAGCAGGATTTCTGTTGCAAACCCTATTTGTCAGGGGCCATAATGGTTTCAGGCTGAAATTTGGCATAAGAGATCTTTGCTTGCATGCAGTTTTTCCATCATTAGAAAAAAAGTAGTGTTTTAGAGATTAAATTGCATACTTTACCCTTTTCTCCTGAAATTTTTTTATTGAAGTGTAATTGGCATGTATCTCCTGAATTCTTAAAAAAAAAAAAAATCACATCAAATCTAGTTGATGGGTGAAGCTCCCAGAGATTTTAGTTGGAATCGTTTGTTTTTAATTGACCTTCAGTGCTAATTAATATTCAGTGATAAGGGCTGCATTATTTTTTAGGTTGCATTCCATTTTTCCTTCCTGCATACACTTGTCCAATTTTCATTGACATACTGCTCTACATTTTGAGGTAGATGTAAGTTCTGATGACCCACTGACTGATGGGCCATAAAGAAGTTCAGAATTGACAGTCTTAGTGGAACGCCAGCACTATAAAAGTTGACCAAACACCTTTTACAAACCAACGTGGGAGATAAAGCATAAACCTGTCTCAAGAGTTAAAGATGACAAACACAGACGGTGGTTTTGAGCTGCTGTAACTCCAACTGCCAGTATAGTTTGTCTGAATTGAGAACTGGAAAATGCCATTTCTACACATGGTCAGATGGGCATAGGGCTGGGAACCCTAATTAATCAAGGATAGTAAGAGTCAAGGGAAAAGGGGTTTTGTTCCCTACAAAAGATTTCTCTTTGGGTTTTGATTTGACCCAGCTGTGTCTGTAGTTCATGCAGCTTGCTAGCTCTTAGTTCACTTGGCTCTTATCAAAGTGTTTCTATAGATTTTTTCTAAGAAATACTTGTTTTTATAAAAGTGATAAGGAGTTTCAAAGTCTGATAGTATGCTAGGCTTGGTAATTTAATTGATAACCAGAAAGCTCTCTTGTATGCCCAATATATAAATCAGATAGATCCATTCAGCTTAAATGTTAAATATAAAAGTTGCTCAGCTCCATAGTCCACCAGATTTATAACATCACTTCTAAGATTTTCTATGTGGGTAGTAGTCATGGGACACTCCTAAGCTGTTAAAATGTGCTGGATGCCACCTACCTATCTGGAAAAAGAATTGCTACATCTTCCTTCTGATCATTTTTCTTCCCCATTTTTAAGTTGTCAGTGCAACTTAGACCAATAAGAGGTACAAAGAATTGCTGTTTTGGACAGTAGAAGGGTGACTTCTTATGTTGAGAGTTTTCCTCTGCATTTCCCTTATTTATGTGTATTTAAGTTAAATCCTTGGTAGTTCATAAAGAAAAATTGACAGTAAAGTCTTATGTAACCCAAATTCCTTTTGTGTTACTATCTGCTCAAGTCTTTGACTGCTATTAAGTGAGAGCAGATTTTTCTGAATATACCACCTCTGTTGGAAAGTCAACTGAATAGTTATACACAAAGGAAGTCCTACTCTAAGTGGTAAGCAATTGGAAGCGGATTTAAAACTGCACTATGTACTTTCCACTTAATCAGCTGTTCTTTTTTTTTTTAACTTGACGTGTTGTAATCTATTGAGTCCACTATTATTTTTCTTCACTGTCTGTTTTGTGGGATTCTGAAGCCAGTTCTGGGTATACATGACATTGTGGGGACTTTGAGAGTAGAGAAAGAGTAATACTTGTTTATTTTGTGTCCATGTAACTCTGAGAAGGGTTAAACCTTTTCAAGCAAATGTTTGGGGTATTTTGTAGATGTGCCCGTCATCTCTCTCAGGTCATCTGTCTAGAGTATGACTTGGAAGTGGTGTTGATTAAATTCGTATTCTTCTCAAAGTGGTATCCCTAATCTGTGTAAGAACAATTTGGGAATAGTTTTCTGTGGATGGATGCTAATATTAAGGAGTATCTGTTAAATCCCCCAAGTATTTAGATGACAGTTTCATCCAGAAATCTCGAGTAACTGCTTATAATATTTTTATAGGCTCTTAAAATTCATTTCTAGTGTTCTCACAGTGTCGAGGCTTCTGACATGATGAAAACACAGAATGTGACATCTGAATTCAGCTTGTTACAGTTTGTGGGCAAAATTTTCATTTTGGCTTTTTAGAAAAAAATTAGGAAATTAACATAGAAACAACACAATTATTCAACCTACAAATCCTATTCAAATTTTGCATGTTGCCCAAATACAACTTTCATTTCTTCACAATGAAAGTATTATACATTACCTTTGTGGCAAAAGATAAGTAAATAAAAAATAAATTTTACAGCATTTGAAAAATGTCAAAGGAGTAGAGCACTCAAAATTCAGTGTAGTATAACCAGTGGTTCCTTTTTCACAGAAAATTACAATTGCGAAAGTATATCTGGTGCTTGAAAGTGTATTGTATAGTATTTTACACCATTTTATTTTGAAATGATTTCAAATTTGCCAGAAAGTTGCAAAAAATAGTATAAAAAATTCCCTTATACCTTTCACTTAGTTTTTCCTATTTTACCATATTTGCTTTAATATCCTCTTTTCCACTTTCCTTCTTTCCCTTCTCTGATACACAGTGTATAATTTTTCCAACCATTTGAAAGTAGGTTGTAGATGTGATGACCCTTTACCCTAAACATTTAGTGTGTGTTTCCTAAGAAAAAGGACATTCCCTTACGTAGCCACAGTACAGTTGCCAAAATTAGGAAATTAACATAGAAACAACACAATTATTCAACCTACAAATCCTATTCAAATTTTGTATGTCGCCCAAATAATACAACATAATAACTATGTATTTGGACTCCTATCAAATGTTGAAGGCCACATCAGTTTCTCCCTAAAAGTAGTATTTTTTAAAGCAACACCAAAGGTAAAGAAACATGCTCTAAAGTTAGCAAGGATCTCTATAAAATTGGAAAAAAATTCTAACATAAAGATGGTTTTAAAATTCAACTGAAGGTTTTCTTCAGTATATTTCCTTTTCAAAGGATCAGTGAATGTTTGCAGTTGGTAATAAATATTCAAGCACCTTGCAAATGTCCTACCAACTCTCTTTGCTGATCTGTATATGCCTGTGGGATTAGAAAAGGAATGCATAATTTAAATATAAATTGCCTGATTTGCATACACAATTAGTCAAGCTACAGCTTTGATCGTAAGCAAAAATTATTGTCCTGTATTACCACTTAGATAGAATTTTAATTCACCTTGAATATTCAAACCAAATTAGATCCTGGCTATATAGTTAGAAGGGCAGTACTTCCCTGGTGCCCCAAGTCATTTGTGATAGGATAATAAAGGCATCTTTTCACCTCCTGGTAAAGAAGGTGCCGCAAGTTCTGTGCACTACTTAGTTTCGATCCAGATTTTAAATGTGTATCTTAAAGTAACCAACAAAGGCTTAACATATCTGAGTTAATATTTCCAGTCTGGACCTTTCCCTTTATGTTTTAGTTTAGAAGACTTAGTAGGCGGTAATCGTAAATGAATAAACTTCAGAAATAATGCTATGAGAATGACAGAAATGACAAATGTCATGCCAGCTAATTACTAGTGGAGAGTTTTTGATGATCCTCAAGTCATGGACTGTAAATGTGTAAAATAAACCATAGAAATTTAAGAAATCACAGGAGTACTTGCATCTCTTATATTTTTAATCTACAGTAAAACATTTTTATTAGGAATCTATGTTTTTAATTAAACAGAACATTTAATTAAGGTGCTTTTTAAGTGGGTGAAACAATTAAGTACAAACACTTGAATGAAACATGTCATAATTAGTTTTAATAGAGTGTTAATTGGTACTAGGTTTGCCAAGTTAATAATTACTGCTTATTAAATTTTCAATTAATCATTGTCATTTTGCTTTGAATAAAGATGAAAATTAGATAAACTAATTCACGGGGAGGATATTTTTCCCTTGTTAATTAGAACAGTTAATTTTTTAAAATGGAAATGACTTGTTTTAGTTGTCAATCTTATGTTGTACATTAGTCAAATCTTTGCACCCTTCCCACAGCCAAAAGTAAAGAGCTAATTTGACACCTTGCAAGTTTATCGTCAGGCCTGATTGTCTTTGCCTGATTCAATTACATTTGTTTAGTGCAACAGGTGGTTATACAAAACTGTGTATATATTTGATTAAGTAGATGGATGACAACTTAAAACTGGGAAATGAGAAAATGGCTTTTAAAAATCCCTATCATTTAGTCTGTGAAGGCATCTATCCACATTACTAAGGAAGTGACTTAAGAAAAAGAAAAGCTGGATCATCTTTCATCATTGATTTTCTTTAAAAGGTCTGCATTATCTTAATTACTGTATGAATTACACTATTGCGCTGTATTCTTTACCAGCAAAGTAATTGTTTGCACTTATATGTGGGTATGTGTAAAATCTGTTCTCTTCCTCTTTTTTTCCTGAATGCTTTACTCATGTACTTCGTATGTTCATGCTGACCTATAGCTTTACGGCAAACCGCCTTCTTTCTGTGTCTAAACTATCCAGACAGGTTTCTTGTTATTTTTGTCCTTTAACTACTTAGTCTAGTCTCATATCCTTTCTGGAGGTACTAGATTGCTAGAAAAGGTGTAGTAAACATGATAGTTTAAAAGCTGTTCCTCAAAGTACAAATTCAAGAGAAGAATTTCACTCTTTTTCTCTTAACTGAATTTCAGAAATTTGGTTTGTTAGAGAATTGCCCAGTACTTGGGGTGAGAGTCACACCTGTTCTCTAGAATTCTGTTTAACAGCCATCAGTCTCCCAGGTCCTGGCTAACCGAGCGTCTTCTCTTGTCCGATTGGGCCCACCTGGCACACAGAGGAGGCCGTCAACGAGGTGAAGCGCCAGGCAATGACCGAGCTGCAGAAGGCTGTGTCCGAGGCCGAGAGGAAAGCCCATGACATGATCACGACCGAGCGCGCCAAGATGGAGCGCACGGTGGCCGAGGCCAAGCGGCAGGCGGCAGAGGACGCGCTGGCTGTCATCAATCAGCAGGAGGACTCCAGTGAGGTGAGGCAGCGGGCTTCCAAGGGAAGGAGATTCCCCCCCACCCCCCCACCCCGAGAGTGCTTGTTTTGATTCTAGGAGATCACAGCCGCAGACGGATATTGCATTTTAGACAAACAGATCTTTGGGGGGAAATTAGAGTAATTTGGGGAGTCCTGGCCCTTGTGGAATTGATCAAAGACCTAAAAGAAAAACTCTTCCCAAAAGGGTTTTCAATTTATTCGGTGGGTAACAGATGAAAGTGAAATTCTAAAAACTTCCAGCACTTAGCTGGGTGTGGGTATATGAGTGTGTTAGCATTTGTACATGGTTTCTTTGTATAAGCTGTGCTCTCCAAAGACATACTGTATGCCTGGGGTCAAAGTCACTTCCTTAACTATCGGTCTTCCAGTTCAACGCTAAAACAGTGTTTGCATCAGTCTGACATTTGTAAGCGATCTTCTGCAGTCTGTTTTAAAACATTATTTGTAATAACCATCACGGCGATCATGTCATAGTATGTCAGTGCCCGAGGTAATATTATTTGGTATTATTCCAGTACACTAAATACATACACAGTCTGAATGGCTCAAGGATCTGGTAAATAGCTAAAACACAACATCTAACAGTGCTTTTAAAAATAGAGCCTATAAAGTCCAAGCAATGTTGTCATGCTCCACATTCATTAATATAGCACCGTAGCCCCCAACGCCAAAGTAACTTTAGATAAAGGACTACAATTAGCTAGTTCACACCAAGCTGAACTAGCAAAACCATAAACTGATAAATCAATGGTCTACTACAATGCACATCTATAATTTGTGAGGGAGAATAAGAATTTAATTTGTACCAGGCTTCTCTCTAGATGAAAGACCCTGCGGGAATCACTCGATGCCCAGAGTTTCTATTTAATGTGTAGCAGATGAATAATCGGGACAAAAGGAATTGATTTTCAACATTTGAAAGTTTCTCAGGAAGAGAGGGACAAAGGGAAGTTTATCTACCCTTTATCTGCTGACTTTTCTATTGTCAAATGAAGCTAGACATAAATTTGGTTCTAACTGGCAGCTTTTGGCTAAGAGATTTAAGGACCTTGTTTTGTGTTTTTAGAGAGAAAAAACATTAATATCCTTGGGAGACAATTTGTCCTGCGACATTCAAGTTAGTAATACTGTGAGGCACAGTTGTTGGCCATCATTACAACTGTCACTTTCACAGGCACATTTTAGGGCTGTTATGTATTTTAAGAGTACCTCATAGGTCACTAAATAGCAAATATAAATGGCAAGGAAGAATTTGAGAATTAAAGTCATTGTATTCAATTAATGACATGCAGTATTCCTTCAGTATCTATAAGCCTTGTGTCTTTATACCTAACACCTATCCAGAAAAATACATGATCTTGACACCAGTATTTTGCACTATAAGAAGATGGTATATCAGACAATAGCTGTAAGTAGTAGAGAGGATGGAAAAAACCTAGATATGACTAATCTTCTATAGTAATTGTTTCTCTTTTTGGCTCTCTTGGGAAGTTAGTCTTTAGTGTGATACTATCCTTGTCTTACGTGACACTTTCCCAAGGGCTTTTAAGGCAGACTGTGGTAAGAAAAAGGGTTTGGATTTCAGAGGACCAAATTTAATTCCTGGCTCCATCTCTTAGAATTCTGTCATTTTGAGAGAGCCACTAAGCCTCTAAAAGCTTTGGTCTGGAGAATGAGTGAAAGTGTTTCATACAGTAGCTAGAACCTTGAGACATGATAATTTTATCGTGTCACAGGTGAGGAAATGCACCTGCCTGGAGTTAAACACTGCTAGGACATGGCAGAATCTAAACTGGAATTCAGCATGTTGTCAGTTCTTACTTGGTTTTATAACAACAAAATAAGGATTTTTTTCATAAGGACCATTAAGATAATCTTTGGGTGTAAATAAGGGCAACTTAGGTCTCTTTTCTCACTTTACTTCTCCTTAAACTGTGAGACCATTTTTAAAACTTGGGGTTCGGGGTGGACACTTGGTTTCTCAAAGGAGTAAGTCTCTTCAAAAGTAATATAGGCCTTTTCCTCAGAATATGAGAGCAAGAAATGGAAGAGAGACCTCATTTGAATGAAGCCGAGACTCCTCTAGACTTAGACATAGTCTGCACACACTTACCGTGAAAGTGGTTTGATTAGGGGGTTTGAAAAAGAAGTAAAGGTTTCCACTAGCCCTAAGTTAATGTCATTAATTCTCTTGTGGACAATGTCCTAGAACAATCTGTGTTCCTGGTATTAGGTTTAAGCTCTACCTTTTACCCAATTGTTAGCTTAAATTTATAGTCAAATTATCTTTCCACCCGCTGAAGAATTCTTTATTTTTAAGCCTGGGGACACAACTTGGAATCCCACCAATTGTTTTTCTGCACCCCGCTATTTTCTCACTTGGGAATGTGCATCTTTTCATAGGAATGACCTGATAGCCATCCCAGCAGTGATGCCAGCAACTCACCTCAAGCCTAGAAAGCTCCCCCGGCCCTCTGGGGCAGAGCCAGAGCAGATCTGGCTTCCTCTGGCCTGGGCGGAGCACCCCATTTGGCTTCCACCATGGTTGGCCCTGTGCTGGGGAACCTGTTAGGTCAGGACCGCGTGGTGCTGTGATCTGCAGAGAAGACAGTGCAGCTGTTTCTCAGAATTCTATCTTTCCATTTTCAGGGAGTTTCTTGGATTTTAACCATTCAGCACCAAATAAGACCCATGGATTATTGTGCTTCAGAAATTTTAGGAATTGTTCTTTGTGTTCTTAGGAATAAATGAGAGGATCTGGCCACCATGGTTGAAAAAACCATATATTCCCATTAAATAGAGGAGCCATTGATTTTAAAACTCAGAAATTAATGGACATTTCTTTAAAAAATTAAAAATCTTAAAAAAAATTGTATTTGTAACTTTCCCAGGGCAGTTTGTTAGTTGATACATATAACTCTAAATTGCTTATTTAATCCAGTTGTTCATTTATTCTTTCAATAACATTTTTTGAGCTTTTATGTTAGTGACAGTGCTGGGCACTAACACAGGCACAGTGGTCTCTGCTTTCATGTTGGGTGCAGTTCATTAGAGTCAAATCACTAAATTATGAATTTTAGTAGGTTTAGTGTGAAAGCATCTGGAAATTAAGTTTTATTTCATCTGATACTGGTCAGCAGCTGCTCCACAATCCGTGCCACCCCTCATTGCCTCTTCACTGCCTCCTTGGGCAGTGGGTATGTCAGTGCCTCTGGGCGGGGAAGAAGTGAAAAGACGGGAAGAGGTTTTCCGGGCTTTGAAGGTGGGATCGCTAGGTGGCTGATGAGTGTTCTGGAAGGAATACTCAGGCTGCAGTGCAGAGAAAGATCAGAGGAAATGAAAAAGAGGGAACAGTCTATTTCAGGACATAGATGGGATGAAGGTGGTTGGATGAAGATGGCTGGTCCATGGCTCAAAGGGTGGAGAAAATTGGATGCATTAGATGGAAACCCATGAGATAGAATGGGCAGGATTTGATGGTTGGTTAGCTCTCCAGGAAGAAGAGGGGATATATAAGGCTTAGGATATATACATTACATGATCTTACTGGCTCCAATCTGCCCCAGGTGTGTATATGAGTAGTGAAGGAGTTAACTTTTCTTCATGTCTTATGTATAAACAACATGAGTTAAAACATTTTAAAAAATTCAAAGTAATTATTTGGCCCGGCTAGACAGACACATCTCTGTGAATTGGAAATACAGCACAAAGGCTTAATTAAATAGTTAACGCTGTTTAATGTGAAAACCAGGATGGTACCCTGTGTGGTACATAAAGGTAGGGTACGGGGTTGAGTGAGACAAACCACTTTACTCCTGTTGGCCCCATGTAATTACGGGCACAATTAGGATTGCCTCCTGACCCTCTCAAATGTTCTGGTTTAGATGATAACTTACATAATCATACCACTTAAAGTTCAGGGTCAGGCAATTAGATGATCGTCTTTTGCTAGTGCAGCCCAGAGGCAAATGGCTGCAGAAGGAATACAGGAGGCCTGAATTCTGGCTCCAGCTCAGGTGCCATATCAGGGTCCTTGGATGATTCCTTTCATTCCTGTCAGCCTGCGTTTCTGCTTAAGGAGTGAGATGCTACTTCCTTGCCTCACTGTGTTCAGAAGATAAGCCTCTAAAAGCTTTGGTCTGGAGAATGAGTGAAAGTGTTTCATACAGTAGCTAGAACCTTGAGACATGATAATTTTATCGTGTCACAGGTGAGGAAATGCACCTGCCTGGAGTTAAACACTGCTAGGACATGGCAGAATCTAAACTGGAATTCAGCATGTTGTCAGTTCTTACTTGGTTTTATAACAACAAAATAAGGATTTTTTTCATAAGGACCATTAAGATAATCTTTGGGTGTAAATAAGGGCAACTTAGGTCTCTTTTCTCACTTTACTTCTCCTTAAACTGTGAGACCATTTTTAAAACTTGGGGTTCGGGGTGGACACTTGGTTTCTCAAAGGAGTAAGTCTCTTCAAAAGTAATATAGGCCTTTTCCTCAGAATATGAGAGCAAGAAATGGAAGAGAGACCTCATTTGAATGAAGCCGAGACTCCTCTAGACTTAGACATAGTCTGCACACACTTACCGTGAAAGTGGTTTGATTAGGGGGTTTGAAAAAGAAGTAAAGGTTTCCACTAGCCCTAAGTTAATGTCATTAATTCTCTTGTGGACAATGTCCTAGAACAATCTGTGTTCCTGGTATTAGGTTTAAGCTCTACCTTTTACCCAATTGTTAGCTTAAATTTATAGTCAAATTATCTTTCCACCCGCTGAAGAATTCTTTATTTTTAAGCCTGGGGACACAACTTGGAATCCCACCAATTGTTTTTCTGCACCCCGCTATTTTCTCACTTGGGAATGTGCATCTTTTCATAGGAATGACCTGATAGCCATCCCAGCAGTGATGCCAGCAACTCACCTCAAGCCTAGAAAGCTCCCCCGGCCCTCTGGGGCAGAGCCAGAGCAGATCTGGCTTCCT